CAATGTTCATTATCCAATCTCAGAATAGTTCAATAGTATAAAAGAAAGGACGCAACCTTGATGGATACCAATTCTTATTTCAAAGAAATTTGTCAATTCTCCATATATAGATTTGTGCCAATATGTGCTGATAAAACGCCTTTAAGAGTCAAAATCTTCCTTAGAATACCGTCATTTCATCACCTGCTACTCTATAATTGAATCGATAGGAGCTGCAAAGTCGAAACAATGAACAAATGACAATGGGTTGCCATTCATGCTCTTAGAGTTGGGAAGCAGAATTGCTTTGTAATCTGCTCTGTAGTCGCCTGGTATTCTTTCCTTACGGCATACCATAGAGTTGAAGGTGTGGAATGGTGAGCAATATTTGAAGTGTTCAGCGAAGACCATTTTCTCCCGAGGTTTTATTAATCTTATGAATAACAGAGAATTATTTCCTATTGTGCTGGCGGTTCGCAATAGTAAACATATGGCTCGATAAACTATATTCGAAAAAGAAAATGGAGCATCTGGTTAAATTTGGCCTCAACGAATTTTTTCCAGCTTATAAGGCGATCCTAAATAGACTTAACCTATAGACTTAGCCTAAGTTATAGTTGCTTAGAAGGTGGAACAATTTCTTATCACCTAATCGAGCAGCCGTCTCAGTTCTTATGGCTATTCGTTCTAATAGCAATTTCTCATCCGCCATATTACTGTCATTGTAATTCTTCGAAGCACCCGATAATCAGAATCTCCTGACATTCATACTTTGGCAACCTTCTCGAACGGTTGGACTGTTACTTCCAGTACCCAATTAGCGCACTTTCTACTAGCATATCCTAGCATAAAAGTGACTAACTTTCGGAGATATTTCTTTATTTGGGACCAGTATTCGTCCACCGTTCTAGAGATGTCATTGATACCATTGAAGTGTTAATCTTCCACCTTTCAATAATTCGATTTGAAATGGCTTATCGCTCCCGGATCTTTGAGGCAGTTGATGGGCCTTGCATTGAGATATGTTGTTTCTTGCGAATTGTCAGTTTTATGCGAATCTTGGCTCGAGTCATAAAATGGTCTGACCCATAAAGGTTATCAGTTTCACCGCTCATATAGGAATGACTATTTAGTACAGAACTCTTCCAATTGACTGAATGAGATGAAGATATAATGAATCTGGTTGGTGTTCATATATATACATATATACATACATATATATATATATATATATTGATGATCGAAATATTTCGGAACTTTCCTTTGAAGCTAGCATAGGCCATACGTTCATTTATCGGCTTCCACTCAATCAGAATTTTTTCATATATAGCAGTCACTACGCTATTTCGCCTCGAGTTACCTAAAAAGCCACAATGATATTGCCAATACCTCTACTCAGAGCCAGGCGATAAACAGTTAATCAACGCAGAAAAAAGGAACCTGCTCTCTCAACTTAGATTAACCAATTCTGCGCTACACCTCGCACCCAAGACAAACCGAAATTCTATACTATCAATAAACTGGGAATCTCTTCTAACATCTACACTGCAAAGCAGAACAATAGACTTGAGGCAAAAAATCATGACTAAATAGGCTTAGTCAACCCTCAAGACCGATCACCGAGGCATAAATAGATGTGAATAGAATCCTAATGATATTCCTGTTACAACAGAAACCAATGAATATATTTGCAACTATAATTCTTGAGATGCTTGACTATAAATCAAGAATATTAACATATCGCCCATGGAAAATAAGATTGGAGAATAAGATCCCATCGAATTGAAGTTTGTTAGCTGCCCTGTTCTCCAAAGATCCATTCAAGAGCCACTCTCAGTTGCATTGCAACAATATTTTAACAGCAGAAACTGAACAATAATCGAAGAATATATGGGAGAAAAATTCACAGCAACAATGCAAAGTGTCTGCAAGACCTAAGAACAAGCATACAAAGAAACGAGGACTAATAAGTAGCAGATGGTGACAGACGATAAAAACATGAAAAGTGAAACATGAATCATGAAAAGCCGTAGGAGTAGCACCTAATCTGAACATGATCCACTTCAACTGGCTAAGGGAACTAACTGCAATTCATGAATTCCTACACAGTAATATAGATGAACTGATAATGGCAGATTTTCAAGCGAAGTCAACATTGTCTTCCTCTCCACAACGTGGAAAATCTTATTAGGCATCATAGTCGCCAAAATACATGACCAAAATACATGTGAGAGTGAGTATAAATCAAAAAGACTCAAAACACCTGCTGCTCATAGATAAAACAGTCGCTTAAGACTGAGTAATCTGAAATACAGCCTGGGTTGACTATAGAAAAAACTATGCATCAATGTCCCACAAATGGTTCTGCAAATGTCTGGCTCTATACAAAATCAGGATCCTAAAGACATTCGAGAACTCAGTGGGACTGTAGAAAACGACTTGAAATTGACGCAAATAGCTTGCAGAAGTGGCCATCAAGTGCGGCAAATATCATGATAACGCATTATCTTCTCTACTGTTTTGTGTATGACTAAGCCCTCTTATCCAGATCAAAAAATAGATACGGATACTAATCCAAGAGCGAAATTATCATTAGCTATCTTCTAAATGGATAACATCTAGTTTTATGGTACAAACGAACGAGATACTAATTCATTTCAAAATTTATCTAATACGAGTCAATAACGAGGTCATGCCGTTCAGATTGGAGAAATGTTGCCAGATGGCAGTGAAGAGAGGAAAAATCAGTTAAGATTGATTGGGTGACCCATCAGAGGCGCAAACACATATTAGCCACAAGTATCTTGGTATCCCACAGTCATGGAAACAGCGAAGAGGAAGCAAAGAAGATAGCAACATCTATGCACTAGAGAAAACCAAAGTACAAGATAATTCAATGGAAAAACAAGATCCACGATATTAATATGAAGACATCGAGACTGCCAATACGATTTGAAAATTCGAAAACTATCCATAATTCACCAAAGTTTCCATTCCAAGTCTAATACTCAAAGACGCACACCAGCAGGAAAGAAGGTGGGACTACCATGTGAGCGGGGCTTAATGAATATCAAAGCCACTAGTATGAACTCAGAGGATTCAAAAACAAATTAGTAAGATGCTGAGAAAAATGCTTGAAGCAGCAATAGATACTGGAAAAAGATCAAACTGACGAAGTGCCATTTTCATACAATGCACCATCGATAGATGTGAGATAGCTGACAACAAGAAATCCTATCAATTGAAAAAAGCCAGAAAAAATTTGGGTAAAGAACGGCATTGAACATTGCATTGTAGCGACAAAAACAAATGACAACAACACCAGATTTATTGAAGCGGACCTACCAGATCAAACTAGTCTCAAAGTGTAGCCCAGTGGTGATGCCAGTAAAACATTAGAGGCTGCGATCCCCAAACTCCCTAAACTGGTAGATTCCAGAAATAATATCAAAGAATCTCTGTGCAGAAGAGTCCAAGAAAATATATATAAATTATCGTTTATTTATTTCCCTTCATGGTTTATTTCCCTTATAAAATAGGGAGAAGTCTCTCCTTGTCGAAACTTCTAAATGTAGTTGTATTTTTTTTCTTCAGCATGCACCACGTCATATTTATATTGTTGATTATAGGGATAAAGGATTTCTTAAATGTCAGTCCAATGCAACTGATGAAGTAAAGCCTTTTTATCTTCTTGTGATGCATGCCAGAAATTTAGTCCGGCAAATGTAGATTTCGTTCTGTGGCGTTGGCATTAAAGTATTCTATGGCAAACAGTTGGCCACCACGAAGGAATTATTTTATGCAGAAAAGCAAACGAGCAAACTTTCCTGATACCTTCCAAGAAACCAAAATAACTGAAAAATTGGGTCGGGAACTGCTTTCAAGAGCGATTTGTGCGTTGTCATTTATGCTCTTGTTCATACTGACTTACATTACTACTTCAAATTCTTTTCGTCTCGAATTTGTCTCGAAATTTATCTAAATTATTTATCAACATCTTCGCTTGCTTGCGTTATCGAATTGTACTATCCGTAATTTTTGTTGCAGAGTCAATTCACTTATTTGAAAATTAATAAAAAATGCAGCAAATAAAATTATAATTTTATAAATTATTTAGTCTCAACTGCATAATCTTAAACGAATTTCAAATCGCATAAATAATGGGAATTGGCGGTAAAATTGCCGAAATTAAATGTAATTCAAGTCCACTAATTCCAAAGACTGGATGGATGCATGGATGCATTTTCATTATTTATCATAACTTTTCACTTTAAGTTTCACTATTAATTATTAATATTAATAATTATCATTGTTAATTAAACTGAATTCACTTGTGTTAATCGAAAATTTGACAAAATTTTAATATTTTGATGAATATAACTTGCATTAAGTTAATGAAATTTTATTTAGGGAATATGGAAAATCGAGAGCGGTTGAAATCTCCAAAAAAAGAACCGATAATGTACCGATTGATTTAAGAAATTCGATCTTTAGCGATCTTTTTTTGCTCTAGAAGTTTCTTGAACTTGGAAAAGAATAAAGTTGCCGTTAAAGAAAGTCATGTATTGCTGAAAAATCGCCTACTCCTGTATTTTTATCGACAATCCTGAAAATATTTCTGGTCTCGAATCGTACTACCAGCCAACAGAGCTGGTCTGATCAGAAATCGAGAGCGGTTGAAGTTTCTAACCACTTATTCAGCATTTTAATCTATCCAAATTTAGGCGAATAACTTTCAGGCACGAATAATGTAATGGATGTTCTAAATAAAGTACAGATATTTTCATCAAATCCTTTTCGCTTTTCATTAGCGGGTAAGAAATTTTCTTCCTTTTAAATTCACAATTCGCACTCTTCTTGAATTAATTTTAAGCTTCAACTTTTATTAAAGCTTCAACTTTTTATTAAAGCTTCAACTTTATAAGCTTCAACTTTTATTAAAATTTTTAGTTCAATGTTTCTATTAAAACAAATATTTCTTGAAATATAAATACTCGTTCAAAAATTTTTTGTTTAAAGTTATGGGAGAATCAGTTGAATCGAAGCGAAGCAATCAAGCTGCACCAAATAAAATTTCACAATATAAGGATACATCTCTCGCAAACTGGGTGAGTGTGGCAGTGTGTCCTTCCGCTCTTAAAGTTTTACATGGATAAAAAGAATGGCCCAAAAATGATTTATATAAAATAATTCATCAATAACATAAATCTTATTAGTTTTTTTTTCATCTAAATTAAAATGAAACTTTTACTTCTTTGCGGAATAAATCAAAATTTTTATGCAAGGAACGTTGATAGGATACTTAATTCATCTAAAATTTCTTCCAGGAACAAATGTCAGCTGGTCGTTTTGAATTTCAAGAATCTAATCGCATGGAGAATGATAATACTGATCATGAAAAAATGAAATATCTATTAGAATTGCCACTTATCGATGCACAAATCATTATGGACAAAAATTTTCTCAGAGATACATTTGAAAATAATTGGAAAAAGGCAAAATAAATTGATACTTCATTTGACACTTACTGAATTGCTTAATTTTTTAAATATTTTCCCTTCTGATAGATTTAGCGTTTCATATATAGTTTCTCATGCAAACATAATTCGTTGCCAAAAGATATTACAAAAGCTTGATAGATAGGTGTATACTGAGTGCTTTCGCAGAGAAATATTTTAATTATAAGAAACAAAAATTTATTTTTCGGCTGAAAATTTAAAATAATTTCAAATACGTTTTTAATTTTTAATTTAATTTTAATTAATTTAATTTTAATTTTTAATTTTTAATATCTTATATATCTTCCAAAGGTGGATGAATTATCGCGTTCATGTCAACAGACTATAAGTGAAAGCATAAAAACTTGGATTGCTGCTATTGTGGATGAGAAAAGACAGGTAGGTAATTACCAATTAATTACCAATTTCTTAATCATCATATCTGCATATTCTTCATTTTAGATAATTAGCCTCAGTCTAAATTTTTTCAGATAGCTAAAACTCGCCAAATCCTTACAACACGTTATAGATTACTATCTTTATTATGCAAAAATCTCATACGGTTACTTCAAATTCTCGGAAATCAATCGTGGTAAACATTTCTACGCCTTTCTTCGCTATTAAAATCTTTAATATCAATATTCAACAATTGCACAATCAAAAGCCGAATTTCACCATTTGCTTACCTATTCCCTTCAATTTCCCTTCTCTTTTCTCTTCCCTTCAAAGTCTATCTGCTTATATAAATATGAATTAAACTCAAACTATTCGCGACAAATGAAAATAAATAATAAGCCCCTTTTAGATTTGATAAATTTGCCTACCATCTCAACGAATATCTACCTTTATTAAACGGTTAATTTACAGTATTTGTAAACCATACAACTTTTACTGCAATAAAATAATGCACGTTTAAGAATGAAGAATAAAATATTCTAAAAAACGTAATTATATGAGATCATAAACGACAAAAATCTTTTAAAAGGCAGCGAACAATTGCGAATAAATTTTGCAAAAAAAGTAATTCTAGGAAAACAGGAAGAAAAAGGAAAACAGTAAAAACAGTAAAAATATACAAAATTACAGAGTAAAATCAAAATATATATACCCGCCTATCAGTGTACACAATTAATTTTATGGATTTGCAATAAAACCATCTGGTTTACCAGAGAAAATAAATTAAATTTTTGATGAAACTTATCAATTATCGGCAATATTTAGTTAAGCAAGTTCAGTAGCAAAAACAAGACAACAAATTTAGTTTTAAATGTCATAGCGACCTATTAATTTAACATGCGAAGTACATGTTTGCTATAAATTTACTAATGCTTTTCAAAATTTCACTTGTTATTAATTAAGTCTGCCATATTCAATCGAGACTTGTCTTTCAAACCTACCAATTAATGTATCACAGAAGAAAAATTTATGTGCAATGTGGACCTATCTAAAGATCGACTAGATTTATAATATAGCCATTGTTTTTTGCACTTTCAATAATTTCGTTTTGGCTTCATCATCTACATCGCTATCGTCGATGTCCGAAAAAGTATCCGTGGCTAAAGACGGGAAGCTCGTTGCCTGAAATGGTGTTTTCATTAATAGACCACATATAAAAAATGTGGCATGATAGCGCAGTCAATAACTTCAAGGATTATCAATAACTCCCCGTCAATAATCCTCTCATTAAAAATCCAGTTAGAGCTGGCAATCCATCTGTAATCCTAGTCAAGTGACTTCCTGGCAGATTTTTGAAAAGTTTCTAATCTATATTTCTAGCTGGTAGCAGCAAAAATGATTTTTGAAATGATAAAAAAAAGAAACAATGAGTTAGTTCTCTCTTATTTCTCCTAATTCTCCTAATTGTTGGAATGCTTATTATGTTTGAGAACTAACGAAGAACAAATAGAGTAATGTGATTCACTGTGAGTGAATTTGATTAACTCACCACAGCACGCGACATTTGCGGATTTTTTTTCTCTCTTGCTGGTTCATCATAAATTCTAGATAAATTAAAAGGCAGAAGTTTTGGCTGATGAGCCGGTGGTAATGGTTTTTCTTTTTCTGATTCACTGCTTTCATTCGGGTAGATAAAATCTCTGCTATCATTGCCTGAAATTAAGACAATTCATACCTCTAAAGTGAAGAATTTGATATACAATTTGACAATTCGATATTATAGTCACAATCGTCAAGTAAAATAGGTGGTACAACATACCATCACTATCACTTGAAAGTGTTTTAATTCTTGCAACATTTTTTTCTTCATTTAGAATATTTCGATGCAAAGGGCGCATAGTCATATATTCATGATCATCTTTTCTTGGACTTAATATCGTATCTGTAAAAGAATTCCGTAAAAATGAATAGGAAATGTTGATTAATCTTCATAATTAAAATGATGAAATTCTCTATTATACTGGCTAGTATGGCCGTAAGGGAATTGCCAAAATGTCCACATTTAGCATTGAGTTCAAAACTTGACCTGGCAACCTATTATTTCAGAAGAGTACGCAAGAAGCCCAACAGTCAATCTCCAAGTGAATAAATGACAAAATTATCTCACTCTGTTATTGAAGATAGTCTAACTAGAAATGCTAGCTACTTATTTACTTGCAACAATCAATTTTAATAAAAATATCGAAAAATGGTACCTCCAACAGCTATTCTACTTTTATCCAATAGGTTTAATTTCATTCGCTCACTTTTTATCTCTGCAGCGATTCCACATGCTCCTTTTATCTGGAATAAATAAATTTCCGGTAGATACTAATAAAGACTCTAAAATGTTTCGATTTATTGTTAGAAATTTGTTTCATATAAAGCTCTGTATAAAAAGGAAAATAAAGAGGGAAGATGTCAGAATTCATCTTAATTTATCGTAGTAAGTAACTGTGTTTAACTATATTTCGAATTTGAAGTACTTCTTTCGAATAATTATGCAATTATATATAAATTAATAAACAGCTGTTACTCACTCTGCTATCACATTCAAGACGCCAACGATTGCTTGAACCTTTTTCCTCGCTACGTAAGAAGCATTCTTCTTCCGGTGTTTTTCGTTTACATCTAAATTCACGAAATTTGATGAACAGAGAAACAAAAATGTTATAAATCTGACAAATAATATTTTTTCTTAGAAAAATGCAACCGATACTCGTACTTGCTAGCTTTACGGCGAGTGTGTGAAGATATATTGCTTACTGCATCATCGTCATGCAATTTTTTGCCATATTTACGTAAAACATCGAAATTATAGACCTGAATTTTTTTAAAACTATAAAACTAATTTTAGAGAGTGGAATTTCAGATTTACATTTTTTTAAAATTAATTAATCAGATTAGGAATTCAATCGATTTCAAATTACTGCATAAAAACCTCTCTACTTCGAATAACTGTCGTGTTAGGACACTCCTTTATCAGATTGCTTTTATCTACAGTAATGAATGATAAAAGTAATGAAAAATTTATTACTCCTGTCTGGTCATTGACCGAAACGAAGCTTTTCAAGGAGCTGCAACTCTTATGAATACTTGAAAATTTAAGAGGATTCCACGGTTCATTACGAGAAGAATGGCTGCTTGCATTCGCTTTAATGTTATCAACACGCTCGTGCACGGGAAATGGCGCTACCTTAAAATAAAAAGTGGTTTAACTTGGGTTTCGTTCATTGATTAGTTATTCAAAGCTTAGATGTACTCCTCCATATAACCAACCTCCACTGTTGGTAAATCGGTCCACTGGGCTCGTTCAAAACTGCTTAAATGATTTCGTTTTGAATGGAGACCACGGGGTGGCAATGGGGGAGGGACATTTACATCAGGTGAACTATCAAAAGATCCAGAAATCCGAGGATTTAAATTTCTCGCGTCATAATCAAGATCACTGCGGTTTTTCTTCATCCTAAAATATCTCTCTTCATTTTCTTTATCTCAAATATCTTATTTAACCATGATTTCTAATATAGAAAAAAAGCAATCTTCAAAAATTTATGGAAAAAGCAAAAATTTTACCTAAGTCGACGATTTCTTGCGCAAAGGTAAATGATTATTAGTAGGATTAGCATAATAAAAACAATCAATATACCGGCTAACTCGATAAGACCAATAGTCAAATACGCAGGCAGAAAAGATGCTGTTCGATCTAAAACATTTAACATTCTATCAAGAAGAATTTAGAAATATAAATTATCTAACTATAATATAATATAAATATAATATACTAACTATAATATAAATTATTAAAAAATTTACAATTTTTTTTAATAACATAATGAACAGTGTCAAAAATGATTACCATTACAAGTTGTGCCAGAGAATCCATGCGAGCAATTGCATATATAATTTGGTGAATGCGACAAAAGTATACACACTCCAAAATTTCCACAAGGATTGGATGAACAAGCATTTATGTCACCTGAATGAATGAATGATATTTTTTAGAAAAAAATGCTTCATTTTAAAAGTATGATAGAATGAAGTGTAAAGTAAATACATTTATGCATTTTTAACATACCACGTAACTGACAAGTTTTTCCAGTAAAACCAGGAGGACAACTACAATAAAAATCATTGTGCAGATTGATACAAGGAATACCGGGAGGACAAGGCCGTGAAAGACAGGCCGATAGATCAATTTCACAATGTGCACCAGTATAGCGAGGTGGACAAATACAACTGAAATCTCGCCAAAATTCATTTATAAATCTTAAGACAAGAAACTAATGAATGTCGCGGATAACGAACAAAAAAAATAAATACAAAATACAAAAATACAAAATAAATTCCACAAATAAATGCTATGAATCAAGTTATTAATCTCAAATTCCTACAATAATTTTTTCATACGTTTTTTTATTATTTTGATTTAGCAAGATTCCATTTGCTTTTTTTGTATAGCTAAAAAACTAATTAAGCATGAGCAATCTCTCACCTTGTAACGAATCTTATATCTATTAATGCTATAATCAGATAACTGTAGTTTTTGCGTACATATTTGTTAAATATTCTTAGCATGCCATTCGCACTAAATGTTTTTTATGCAAATCAAAATTCTATATATGTGTGTAAAATAGCTCGAAAGTTGAAACAACTCCGTTATTTTATTTCCTTAATAATTCTTAATTTTTAATCATTTTATGTTAATCTTTTATTATTATTTATGATTTGTTGTAATAAAAATAAAAATACCTTAGTCTGCTTGGGTTCATCGATGGATCATTAGATCTTAAACTAAAGAACCACCTCTCCGAGTTAATTTCCATCAGTTCTATCTCTTGTATTAAATTTCGTCAATTAAAGTCCCACAACGTATCCATAAGTCTTGTTTGTATTTCGTATTTAAAATAAAATGTCCCTATGAATCCACCAACAAAAAAATAAATCATATGAAAAATAAACCTGAAAGAAATAGATCCAGAAGGAATACAAGTGCCTTCATTTCCACACGGATTCGTTGAACACGGCGTTCGTCCTATTGCATTACAATTCATACGAGTTTTGTATAAATGTAGGCCTTGTTTGGTTTTTGGTATATCGAAGCCATCAACAGATATACGCCTAAACATACAATGTTACAATATAAAAAAGAAAAAATAAATTACTGGCCACAATTTATTTATTGAAGTAAATTTTTAAAAAAAGATGAAAATATAAATATATAAAAAATATATAAATATAAAATGCAACTAACCCAAAGCATCCAACCATTCCATTCAATACAGTATATCTAAACTCGCTAGTAAATGCTCCTAGGCCAATATTTGAAGGAAAAATGACACGTCCTCCAAACACCAACCTATCAAATTTATATTAGTAAAAAATTTTTTCGAGGGTTTTTGTCGGCTAAATTAATCAACCTAAATTTGTAAGTTTACAGTGGAGAAAGAATGGCCAAGTTGCATGTTGCTACAAGTTGAAACAAGTACATTGGTGATCCATGCAGTCGGATAAGGTAAAACTTGTTAATAAAAATGAACCTCGGACTACCTAGACCTAGGACCCACTAATATTTCTGCAACTACGTGAGATTATCTCTAGCGAAATCTATCTTGTCTATCATTATCTTATCCTTGAGATGCTAAAAAGAAGATAATTTGTTTAAGTACAGGAAATAATGGTAATGGACTAAATTTTACCTCATAGCATTTCGATAAAGATTAATGACATCACTGCCCAAAGGGCTATCGGCTTCTGCTACATAAACATCATCAACAGTTAATTTAACGTGACGACTTCTTCTTGATATTTTAATCGAATACCATTTACCATCTGATACTCGTACGTTGTTTACACGAACTAAACCAACACCAGTACCACAGTCCCAGCGGTACTGTATATGACCTCGTTCAATCTTAATATGATACAACTTTTGAAAACATGCAAAAATATTAAATGAAGGAAATCACACTGAAAGATTTTATTCGAAAGAAAAAATACCTCAATAGAGTGAAAATCATTACTGCCCGATGCGTGCATGACTATGGCATCTGAACTAACAGTTCGGAAATTAAACGATAATTCTAGACGCTTTTCAAGAGAATTTGCTATAGTCATCTCAAAGAATCCATCACCATTTACACTAATTTCAGCATCTAAAAAATTTTAATGGATTAGATAAAATAAACCAAAAACGAGGAAATGGGAAATGAAAATCAGAACTAATACGAAGAAACTTACTTTTGCTGCATTCCCTACTGTCTTTTCCACATGCTGGAGTTGCGCAACGATTACCCATCATTCCAGGTGGACATACACATTCAAACCCTACATCAGTGTCCATTGGCACACATATCTAAATTATGAATAAATAAAGGATATATACTAAATCTTCACGAGCAAGTCTATCAATAAAATCCTTAAGAATAAAAAATATTTGAAAGAGGACAAGTTTTTCTCACAATAATAATTTCATTTTACGCTAAATACAATAAAATCTAAAATCGGGTAATGCTGGAGACCTACTTGTATTTCTTCTATTCTCAGGTTTTTATCCTCTGGAAAAATTATTATTAACAGCTACCCAACCGAGTCGAAGCAAAAAGTAAGCACTAACTACTTCTTTTTATTCTTCTAGAACAACAAGTAAATTTCCCTTGTTTCTATGTATAGTTCGCTGGGGACCCACCCATACCTCTATCCTCAAGTAATTCTATGGTGGAAGGATCAGGTATCTTTGACGCAGCGTCCACATCTTCCGACGCATATGGTACTACCCGGTGGCGATAATACCGGGAGGAATAATAATAATAAAGTAATTCCAAGGCTTGAGGATAAGATATCCAGGATTCGCGATCTAGGACATATACTCAGAACCCGTCAAGGAAGACGAGAACCGATATGTAACACTTCATAAGTGCGGGCTGACGATAAGATTGACGAAACCTATATTGGAACCGTTGTGAAATCATCATAAAGACAAAAATCTATGTCCATTTAGTTACGATTCGCTCGATCTTGCTATATGGCTGCGAAACATGGCCAATGAGAGTGGAAGATATTGCGAAGCTAAGCTTTTACCATTTATGTCTAAGATAAGGGTCCATCGAGCGGATAAAACTGTACATGATTGTATATCTACCTTCGCTCAAGTACCACCTGTATTAATAATGTTATCACAGAGTGTAGTCTTCGCTGGTTGGAGCATGCTTTATGGCGTCCACCACAGGAGTTGACGCATATTTCGCTAATTTTGAAGTTTGGCGTCAAAAGCGAGCAGAGCCAATCAAGACCTAGATTGGTATAGTCAGGAAAGATTTTGAACGTATAGGGGGACCAGCGATATATGGACTTAGACGATGGAAAAAGGAATGGCTTTTATTACTACTGGCGATAGCATCGGACCGAGCAGTTTGGAGATGCCTTACCCTTGAAGCCAGCGAAGCAAACCTAAATAGTAAACCTAAATAATAAACTAATGGAAAACCGGCAATAATGATAAATAAATAATAAATGATAAATAATATTCATTACTGATTTGGTCATTAAATATTTAATTAGAAATCGTTTTAAATATATTTTTAAAAAATCAAACATTAGAAGTTTCAATTTATATCAGCTAAAAGAAAGGAAAATTAGGTTTAACCAACTTCTTCTCTAGTGCAAGGATCTTTACTACATTTATCAATAGGTACATCACATCTTTTGCCGGCATAACCTGGACGGCAAAGACATTCAAATGTTCGAATATGCCGTGGTGCAGTAAAGGACATGTTATCCATTGTGTACTGGGAATAATTAACATCATCCAGATAAAGATGATCACGGCAATCACCTTTTAAACAAGCAGATCGGCTGCACAATTCAGTTATTATTGAGACAATCTGAATTTATTATTTTTAAACAAAACTTATAAAAGTTAAAGACACAGTAAGTTCGATTAAAAACAAAATTAGATCTTTAGACATTATGAATAAAATTAAACTTTAACCTCAAGCCCGATATCATCAGCAAGTTCAATGATAACTTGTTCAAGCATCGATTTGATAAAATTAGGACGATGATAACCGAGCGAATCACCTCGTGAAACAACAAACAAAATATCGAGTTCATTACTAACTGGATTTGTTTGGTTTAAAAGAGCTTTACTTCGTTTTGATTGATAATGAAGGTATCGCTCTAAAATTATTAAACTGTGATAAATTATATTATAAAATTATATTATATTATATTAACGTTCGAATGCTGAAGGCTAACTTGTCTTAATTCTTAATCCTTCTCGGACGAAGGGGTCACAGTCCTATGTCCAGCAATCAGTAGAGCCAGACAAGTTAAAAATGGTAAATATTCTTGGAAAGAAAGAACAAAAATTTTTAATATAAAATACAATACAACACAAATAATGCAAAAATTTTCAGAGGATGTCTAAGTTCAGAAAATGTAAGAAAACCAACCGACGTGACCGGACTGATAATTTGTTTGTTGCAAAGTTAATATTCGCACGTTTGAAGACTTTAAATTTAAATAGTGTCCTAGTGAACGATGAAATTTATCGCTATAATTTTTTAAAAAAACAGAACCATTAACATTACGAAATCGTATTCCCAGCGAATGGTCGAGAGCATCCTGATCAATTGTGTTCACCTATAATGAAACAGCAATGAAATAATGTTAATATGTTGAAAACAATAAATACAACTGAATTTTGGGTAAATATTCATTTTCATTTCTTATATTCATTTCTTTTGATGAAAATCATCAAGGCACAATGCAGTTTGAAATTTGGTGAAAAAACCAAAGAAACCTACGAAAACAGTAACTAAAGAATGCACAGCAAAATTTCCATTGGTAATTGATACATTAAAACGATGTATTCCAGCTAATAAATCAGGTTCTGCAAAAATTTCGCCAGTTTCTGCATCAACTGAGAATGCTGGAGTTTTTCTATCGAAGATGAACGAGTTCACTGCAGAGGGCAACACATAATTGTGCGAATTTATTAGTGAATATCTCAATATATCGCCGAAATTCTAAATTCATTATCATGCATTGTAATAAATAAATAATTTTAAAAGCTAAAATATATCCAATACTCATCGTAAATGACCAAATGATCCAAAGAAGATGAGACTGTCTGTCGCCAAAACTAACATCGCCTTTTGTTCTGATAGCACCAATTTTTCCTCCAAGGAATTCACCCATCAAAGTGTTCAGAGTAATTGTCAACGGCTGAACAACAGGTGTATGATGATGACTTTCTTCCACGATATATATGGTTAATGGACATTCTGATGACAATCCACCATTATCGTATGCTTTCACCTGAAAACTTACGGTAAATCAGGCCAAACAAGTAAAAGCTTTAATAAATATGGTAAAACAATGATAAATCGGGTTAACAATTGCATTATACCATAAGATCAGAAATGAAAACGAAACGAAATTGTTGTGAATTTTCTTTGAACATGTTCCAGAAATTCGATAAAAAATTCATACCGACAGTAAATATATATCTTTCTTGAAATAAGATAACCGAGATGTTGTGATTAGATTCAGCGAGGAGTCAAAAGCAAATGAACCAGCATCATCACCTATTATCTCCATTCTAAACGGTCCAGCATTTGGATCAACATCCTTATCAATTAGAGTGACTGATAAAAGTGGATATCCGGGTTCAATGCTCTCCTAGAATTTTTGTAATCCGCAAAATGAAAAGAATTTTTAAAATTCAAAAGAATGAATACCCACTTGAATTACAATAGTCATATTACACTGCAAAAAAGTAGGTGCATTATCATTTTCGTCCTCAATCTCGATTAAAACAATTGTTGTGTTTTTCAATGGAGGCAATCCACCATCTAAAGCACTGACTTCGACTCGATAATTAGATACCTTAATTTGATAATTAGATAATTATATAAAAGATATCTGAATTCAACAAAAAATAAGTTTTGTTGAAATAATGAACAAAATTAATTTTACATTTTATTTAAAAATTTTTATGCTCAACGGTAGGAAAAAAATGGTCAAATGGAATGTTATTTCGGTTGAGATTCAATCACTGCTCTTGGAAGGAAATGTATGCATTTCTATTCTCAAATGGCTCTCTGGCAAAAATTTTATCTTAACAGCCACGCGAACCATAAGTGGTACCTACTGTCAAGAAAGAAAAAATAAAACATTACATTAGAACTGATAAACTTTAAAAAAGAAATATGACGTGAAAAAAACCTTTTCTCGATCAAGATGAGCATTAACAATAAGCCAACCACTATCATCAATTTGAAAAGAGTTCGAATGATCACCGATAGCATAAATCACCCGACCAAAATGCCCACTGTCTAAATCGTTCGCAGAAATCTAAAACAAATAATTTAAGGCAAGTGAAAAATTTCATTCAAATTTATATATACATAAAGTTTATATAATTAAATTTATATATTTAAATTTATAAATTAACCTATAAATTTATGTATCTATCTATATATATATCTATATCTATCTATATATATATATATATCTATATCTATCTATCTATATATTGGGGCTCCCTGGCATATTGATCAATATATATATATATATATATATATATATATATATATAATAAATAAAATTTATGTACAAACTTGAATAATTTTGGTTCCAATAGACGAGTTTTCACGAACTTTTGCAGTATAGTTTAACTGACTAAATTGAGGTGCATTATCATTTATATCGAGAACTTCAATATCAATCAAACACCGGGAGCTTAGCGGCGGAAATCCAGAATCGATCGCAACAACTGCGATCGTAAAACGTCTCAAAATCTCGAAATCAAGAGATTCGGATAGTCTGAGAATACCTGAATAATGGAGAACCTATATTGAACACTCAAAAAATGGATGAATTAACTCATCCATAATATAATGATAAGCACAAATGAATGGATTTCCAGACGGAAAATTAAAATAACAACCTGTATTCTTTTCCAGTTCGAAATACTTATTAAGACTATCAAATGAATCAAGATGATATTCTATTGTATCACCACTGTCATCATCAAAAGCTCTGATCTGAAGCAGTTCAGATCCAATGGGCTCATTCTCGACAACTTTTAGGTAATAGATGTTTGATTCAAACTGTGGTTCGTTATCATTCTCATCAACCACTTCAATAACAACTTTTGCTGAAATATAATATTAAAAAACAGCAAAAATCCATCTTTTTTGAATTTGAGATATTTTAAAAAATAAATGTATTAATTTTTCCGTAAAATTAAATTCTTTACTTAAAGCGGCAGAAAGAAATTCATGAGAAAAAAAAGTTGATGCAAGCCTGGATGAACTCACCATCAGCTGTTTTGTTATCAACATCGAATGCTTGTACATCTAACTCATAAAGACCAATAATTTCTCGATCAAGCGAAGTCAAAACTGTAAGAATACCCGTTCTGTTATCCAAATGGAAAATATGCAGAAGCGAGTTATTTATAGAAGAGAATCGATAATGTACCTCTCCATTTGTACCAAAATCACGATCTTCTGCCTCCAACCTATAAAATGGTAAAAATGACTGAAAAAAATTTTTTTCCTGGCTAAAAGTGAATAATCTTGGTTTAAAATCAGTGAAGTTCAATACCTTAAAAGTATCACTTGTGGAACCAATAAAGGAAAAGAATTAACGACTTCATTCATACAACTAATTACTGAAGCAAATCGCCTAATGAAATAGTGTTTGCATCGTTCTAACCAATTTTTAAAAAAATTAGAAAAAATTATTCACGAAATTATTGAATTATTCTATTTAATTATGTGACTGATGTAGAGTCTTCAGGTGTGAAATTATGGGTGACAAATCTATAGAATTTATGACATTTCTTCTTTTCTTCTTAGGTGACTTTTTTTTGCAACCGTTTTTGTTCCTTTTCCTTTCTTATTATTATCTACTGTTTAGAATTCATGGCTTAGAGACTTCTTATTTAAATGAATAAATAAGTATATGCATTTTTCAAATACAGAAGGGAAAGAAAATTTACAAAATAATAGCTCACAAAAAAACGGTTCAGTGAATATAATGAAAACTGACTTTGTCAAAAATATTCGATTATCATAACTAGCATTTATGTTTTCTCTAACTGAAACTGCAATCACTGGCTGAGAGAAAATCGGCGCTTCATCATTCACATCACTTATTTCAATCAGTAATTTATTTAAACAAAAGAAATTTCTGCCTTCAATAATCGTTGTTAGTTCAATCTAAAGTTGAGAATATCAATACAATAAAAATGAATTATTAAGGGAAGATCCCCAATAAAATTCCGGACGATAAGGCAAACTCAAAACAATAAATTCAAGCCTGTCGTATCGTTAATCGATAAAGCATAAAATATTAATTTTAATAAAAGTGGAAATAAATAAAGAATTTCCTGATCTTCGTTTTCTTTATCCAGTGCTTTCGACAATAGAATTGATCCATCGTTCTGCATCGTAAAGAACTCACGCATATCATTAGAATGTAAAGAATAACGGAAAAAATCTCCAGCGGACTTTTTGCCTTGTTTTATTACTGTTCCAACTTGAGTGGATTCCATTATTATCAATTTTTGCTGATTTATAGGGCATTCAAAAATGGATTGATCGACAAGTAACCTGACCTAAATTTCAGCACTTATTACAACAACAACAAAGCAAAAACATCAAAGTATAAAATATAATCTCAGCATTTGCTAAAATTAAATCTTTGAAGAAGGGTCCTTTAAACTGCTAACGAAATCAAAATTTCAAGTACTTTTCAGCTAAATTTTTTTAAAACTTCTCTTATTATATACCGTATTGTTATTTACCATTTCGATACCGACATTAAATATATAAAACGATTTTTTTGAATTCAATAATAATATCGTTAAAAACGATTATTCAATTCCACAGCAGAGACAACATGGAACTTCAGAGCTGTAGTGATAAAAAGAAAATGAATCATCCACTGACGGTCACAATAGTTTTGACATTGTGTCGCCCATCGAAAGCGAATACGGATAAGACATATTCGGAATCATTAAGAATGAGTGGGACTTTCGCCAACGATAAACTACCATCAGAACTGATTCGAAATAATCCTTCAATATCACCATCAATTATATATAATTCTGCCATGTTCGTGGATGTAACATCTTGATCCTGTAAAAAAACAAATTTTCAAATTTTCATATTTAATGAATTTTGGAAAATTATCCATTTTTCTTAATTATTTACAATAATTTTCTTCTATTTTCTTGCAATTTTTATCTTAATGTTTTACAAATTTCTGATGAAATATATAATTTTTTATGAAATTGATAACATTACTCATGATTATTCAATGCGAATTTTTCGGCTATAAAATATAAATTTCTTAATTATATAACATTTATTTTTACTGATTTATTTTTCAATGTTAAAATTTGTGGAGAATCATGAAAACAAGATGGATAAACTTGCAGCAACATGCGGATTAAACGGGTTAGCTATTGCAATTTGGCCATTTTGGTCCGAATATATCATTGTTATTGCAATTAAGCGCTGATTAATATGCTTTTTTTAATTGATGAAACTTTATTTACTGATATTTTTATTTCAGCAGTTTGATAAAATTATGATCAAATTTTTCTATTTGGGACAGCTAAGATGACCAAATATTTCCAGCTGCCAAAAATTTCTTTTAAAACTCCCACAACCTCAGAAGCTAACAAGGATGGTAAGAATTAATCCTATAAGTGGTAACATTAAGCCCTTTTTTAGATTTTCCTTATGAATACTATCAAAATATGAAGAGAAAACAAAATTTGATCATAATATTTTTGATTCAATATTAGATAAATAAATCATCAAATATCATAGTGCAATAAATAATTTATCAATAAATTATTAATCTTTATGATATTTTTTATCAATGTATTTAAAAAGCATAAAGTTTTTTTTTCAAAAGATTTTTAGGAAATATAATCGGAAAAATATAATCTAAACATACATTAACACAGATCCGCAAAAATTCGTCGCCAACAACGAAACGATGTAGATAGTCCTCAAAAATATATTCTTTTTTATCAAAAACAGGTGGAGAATCATTGATATCCAAAACTATAATCGATATATTTTTTCGAGAAACTAAATTTCCTTCATCGCTTACAATAACTGTAAAATGATGTTCAGCTTTTTCTTCTCGGTCAAGTGGCTCGGCTATTGTCAGGAAACCAGACTTTCGATCAATTTTGAAAGATTTGTCGAAATTTTCCTAAAAATATGGTTTTAAAATATGATTGAATGAGAAGGACGAAACAAAGGCGAAACACTGGAAAATAAAATATTTAATTCGATCTTACGAAACTTATATAGATGCAAACTTATCACTCGTTCGGCTTCATATAATTTAAATTTCAAAACATCCTTTCAAAATAATTTCGAAATACTTAAACACCTCTTCAAAATCAAAAAATAGTTTCGAATTTGGACCAATATCCGCATCCATTGCACTCAGAACTGCGATAATTGTCCCAACAGGTGCATCTTCAAAAACAGCGATTCGCTCATTTCCACCATCAAAAACTGGTGCATTATCATTTGTATCGGTGACTTTGACCGTTACAGTTGCCATTGTACTAATATCTGGTTTTAATCGTTCATATATGTGCACAATAAATCTCCATTCCTCCACCTATTTAAGATTTCAATATGAGTTTATAATTATAATTAAAAAATTGTATTATATAATTATTGAAAAAAAGCGATAGATTATAGCAGTGATGCACAATTTTTTTATAGGGCCAAATGAAATTGTTTTCAGTTGGTGGGACAAATGAAAGAAGCATTTTTCATTTTTTTAGCAATTTTTTTCGCAATTAATTATGAGAACGAAATATGCTAGCAATCATTATTGGATATAATTTCTGTTATATAATTATATAATTATTATATAATTACTATTATTTAAAAAACATTATAAATGAAAAACAACAGTGCGAAACAATTATTATTGTCTAAAATATTGCAATATTGCAATCAAAAACCAATAAGATGAAATATTTATATGCCATTCTTCCATAAAATATGACTGTGGCCACGGACGGTTAGGACGGAGATAAGAAATTGCTTTTGCTTGCAATCAGACCTATACTTATCACTCATCTTTTAACAATAAATCAAAATCAATTTTAGGCCATAATTAGGAAGAATTGATTGCTGTTTTTGGATAAATGATATTGGAAACCAGAACCATAACAAAAAAGAGTTGAACGTTTTATTATACAAATTGTTTTCCCTGTAGTCTGAAATTCGATGCGTTCATATGCACTGATCTATATGAATGGAAATAATGAAAAATGTCAAATCGCATAACCAGTCTTGACACAATTATCATTTTCTTCAAAATAACCAATTTTTTTTCAACTAAATAAATTTCTTTGTCTTCAAGTAAAGTTGAAAAAAGTTGCAACACTTTATTTCGGCTTCACCGGACTTCAGACAAATATAAAACTGAATTTTATACGCCAACTTCTTTCAGAAAAACTCTGAACTGACGGTGATTAAACGTATAAAATTCACTACCGCAATAATGCCAATAATCCCATTCGAATCCTATTTACCCTCCTATTAAGTTCTATTGATATATAATGCAATGATATTTATTTTTGCTTGAATTCCTAGTTTTATTAGTTGTCTGGATAGAAGAGATATGATTCCATTTTCTTCACTGGAAGTAAATCATCGACCACTAATGCCGACAAATTTTATATTTCAATTTGTGTCTATCGAATAAGCAATTGATAAATCTGAGTCGTCAATTCGTCCATGAAACGGACATAATTCTAAAAGTTCTTCATGAATTTTAAAATCGGAATTTTCAACAACCAAGATCCTACTTGCCAATTAAGCAGTTATTATGGTGTCAGAAAAGAACTAAAAATCTCCATCGCTGGTGGATTTGACAATAGCAGATTTGACAGGACCATTAGGAAGAAGGAATGCAATGGCGGCAAATAAATCCATCCGAGATTTCCGAAATTTTCATCCTTATTTGATTTAAAATATTAATATTTCGCTTTGTATTTTCATACGATTGAGACGACTGAGGCTTTTGTCGCAGTTTTTGCAGCAAAGTGCGTTAAATGCGTTCATGAAACATTCTTTGACAAAATTACCATTTACAAAATGCCTTGATAATGTTGCAATTATCAAAGATTTCACTGGAACTCACTCCCACGCAGTTTTTAGATGCATCGGAAAATGATATTTGTTGAGTTGTTAATGATGAAGTATGAAAAGAATTTTTTTTATGCTCTTAACTCGCAAAATATTTTTTGTTGAAATCTAAATGTTACTTTCAAAAATGGCGCTTCAAACTTGTTTCTTCTGGCACTTTCACAGTTTGATTATAGAGAACACATACGAACTTTTAATTAAAGTAATGTCTTTCCGTACTTACTTAGCTCAAAAAATTTCATACTCTTTTCCGATTTTTTTAGACATAACCTATATTTTTTTAAATAAAACTTTTTAACGAATTGAGGGGCGATGTAAAACACCAAAATAACCCAAAATTAAAACTGAATTTTAAAAATAGAATCAAAAAATTTAAAAAATTAAATTAAAAATTTATAAAAAAACTTTTTTCCAATGATTTAAAATTTTATTTTAAATAACAGTGGGCCGTAGGTTGTGCATCGCTAGAAAACAACAAAGAATCTCCGAATTTAAAGAATTATGAAATGAACAATTTTTTATGTAAAATTTTTGAAAAATAAACCATTTCACGATCTATAGCAGCAGCTATGATAATATCACCAGAAGTATGATTAATGAAAAAAGGTATATCAAATAAAACCGCATTGCTCTCGATCGATGATATTACCAGATCAGAACCTATAAAAAAGCTTTAATAATACTCAAAAATTTTCGGTAATATGAAAAAGGTGCTGAAAGGATTCCCTATAAGAAAAATTAACTACTCTAATATTGAAGTAAAAATTCAAGGCGATATCTCACTTGAATATTCCCAATGTAATTTTCCAATAATAGAGCCAATAATAGTATTTTCTGCGACATTAAATAAAAAATGATTTTTCGAAAACCGAGGTAATGAAATACTCGAAGAAACCACAGAAATTGTAATGGAAGTTTCCGTTTGATGTGGAGGATTCGCCATATCAGTAGCTCGAACAAAAAATGAGATATGTTCGCCGGCAAAATTTCTGATGGAACGACGCAGACTAAGAAATCCTTGCTTAGAATGTAAGAAAAAATAATCAGATCTATTAGTGCTATCTGCAATAATTGAATATTCCACTTGATCACCAACATCTTGATCTGTCGCAAGTACCTGAAGTATTAAAATTTGCAAAAGATTTGTTGAAGAGAAAGTTTCATTACTAAATAAAATGCAAAAAAATGTGTGATCGAGATACAGCGAAACAAAAATATGGTAAAAATGAGGAGATGAATAGCTCAATGGATTTTTGCACAATTCGGAGCGCCTGAGGTTTTCCCTAAGAAGTAAATCTATCTAAAAATCCGGCTGATGTAGGCAATTCACTTGCACTTCTATCGTCAAGGAACTCACTGACATATTTAATTCGTGTGTATTTTTTTATTCTCTAAAGGACCTAATGCCATTCGCCACTATAACAAACAAGATAGATTAAAAAACATACTATTAATATAACTTCTCCTTCTTGCATATCTGCCTTTATAGAACTTTCATAATTCTGTGTTACAAATCTTGGTGCATTGTCGTTCTCGTCCAAAACATTTAAAGAAAGGATCGCGAAAGTTCGATGAAATACTGCATCAGTAGCTACCAAAGGAATAGAATAGGAATGCTGCTCTTCATAATCCAGTGATAATCTAAATAAACATTTCGTAGCAAAATATCTCACTCAAAAAAAAATCATAAATTAGAATAAAATTAATCACCTCATAGTAATTTTACCAGTATTTTCATCGATAATAACAGGCCATGAAGACGAAACTTTGCTACCACCAAATGAATATTTAAGGGGCTTGATTCCACCCATACAATGCACTTGTATTATAGGGATATTTGTTTTGCTGAAATGCTCATTCAGTAAGTCACATATTTAAATTTATTGAATCGAAAAAAAATATTTTGAAAGGCAATTTATCATTAAAAAAATAATTAAAAAATAACAACAAACCTATTTTCCTTTATACTAACAATATAATTCTCTCGTTCGAAGTATGGCAATGGAAGTTTCGAAGTGCTTGCAGACAAAATAATTGATAATCGTGCGAATGATGTGAATATTCCGTCATTCACAGATATATTGAAATTTTTGGTACCAATATCAAGATCATCATCTTTTATATCTCGCGCCAATGTCAGCACTCCCGAATCCTTATTAATTTCCACAAAAGTTGTATCACCATCAATTAACGAAAATATAAAACGGCGTCCATTTGGTAAATTTGATGCAAAGTCCTAATGAATGAAATAGAGTTAAAGAGTTTTATATTTTTCTTTCATAAACTTTTTAACTTTATCTTCCTTCAAAATGTGATGAAATATTTAAAAAATATGACTAATTAGAAAAAGTAACTGAAAAGAAATGAAATAAGTGAAAAAACACTTTTTAGTCAGAGAATACGTTTTTATGAACTGAAAAATCACCTCATCTTCAACATTCATTTTTGCTATGAAAGAACCAGGAGCAGCATCGCTTGAAATGAATCTGTGAACAACTGGTGGCTCAAAAACCGGCTTTATATCATTCCAATCTTCGACTATAATTACGAGAGCCTATAAAATAATAAATAAAAAAATAATAATATAAAAAAATATAATAAAAAATAACAGCTAGTCCTTAAAAGGAAAGCAAAAATATTTAGCTTATATAGCAAAAAAATTATGATGCAAATATATACGGTAAATAATCTAAACTTCCATTTGAAATATTTTAGAGGAAGTGGAAAATTAGAGGATGGAAGACAGAATCAGCAATGATGATTTGAAAGATGAGGACAAGAAAGACAAAGATATTTGGAGACGCTTGAAGCTTAACGAACAAATTTATTGAAACAAACTGTTTCTGAATATAACTGATCAATATCAGATGCTCTTAAAGTAAATTGATGTAGACGCTGTTGCTCGAAGTCCAGCGGCTTCACAAGAGTTATCTGTCCAGAATAAGAATCTACTGACAACACTAAATCCAAAAAAATTATTCTAATATAATTCGACATTGAAACAAAAATTTTTCTTATAAGAGTAGAAAATTTTCAAATAATCATATTATAGTGATAAAAATAATTAAATCATATTGTAGTGATAAAATAGATAAATAAAATTTGGAGACATAATATTTGGAGACAAGAAACGCACTAGAAGAATTGGGACCAATGATGGCATAAGAAGTACGACTTGGAGTTGAGTCTGGATCTTTAGCCGCCACCTTAAATATATAGTAAATGAAACAGTTTTATGAAAATATATGTATAGTATAAGTAAATAAAGCAAGCATAAACAAATTTTTAGATTTATGAAAGTTAATTTTTTAAATAAGTTCACACTAATAAAATAGAACCTGCAATATTTCGCTACCAACTGCAGTAGCTTCATTAACGTTAATTTTATAAAATGATTTTAAGAAACGTGGAGGATTATCATTGACATCGTCTACAAGAACTTCTACAGTACACACTGCAACAGTGCTCACTCGTGAAACGTCGATGGCTTCAACTGTCAAATTATACGAACGTATTGTTTCGCGATCCAGAGACTTGTGAACACTGATAACACCTAAATATTAAAGAATATTTGAAAAAAATTATACGATAAAAATTAAAAAATTTTAGAAAAATTAATAATAAAAAATATGAATATTGTTTATAAGGAAGTTGATATAATTATAGCTCGAGATTCGTCTCATTCTCATTTTTTCATGAAAAAAAATTCATGCTGAGGAAGGCAATCGTGTTCTACATGATTATAGAAAGATTATCTATTTACCCGAATAAAAATCAATTCGAAATTGCTTCCGATCATCACCGTTTCTGATGAAGTAACCAATATGTCCGTTCACATTACTTAGAGCCTTAACCATTAACACTGCTGATCCAATGGCAGCATTTTCCATAATATGGCTTCGATAGAAACGATTGATAAATATTGGTGTTGAATGATCGACTATTTCAATAAAAATATCGATGAGAGAAGATAGTTTCGGTGTACCTAGGAGATTTCACTACAGTTAAACAATTGTTGAACGCTATATTTCAGTAATAAATATAGCGACATTAAATTAGAAATTAAAAATTAGAAATAATAAATCAATAAATCATAGAATGGACAACCTTGGTCCTCTGCTTTAACTCTTAACACAACCGTTGTTAATTGAACTTCATCCAAAGGTTGGCTAACAGAAATCCGACCATCATACTTGTTAATTTTAAAATGTGATGAATTTTGAGTGAGAAAATATCTGGAATCGATTTTTGTTAGGATTTTTGATAAAAAGTTTCCATAAATTTATAATTTTTCGACATTAATTCATATTTTTGCGACGAAAAAGAAATCATTAATACCGACAAACCTGATGGCTCCATTTTTTCCTTGATCGGCATCGTGAGCCTTTACATTAATGACTTTCTCTCCTATTTTGGCTTTTCGAGAAAGCACTGCTACATATGGCAGATTTATAAACTGTGGACGGCAATCATTCACATCCAAAATACTGATAAGAACAATACATCGTGCCTTTTCCGTTTTTCTCCAAGCTCGCGCCTATAATAAAACTTTATAAGAAAAAAACAAAGCAAATTTCCCCAAAAAATAAAAATGATGACGAAATAAATCTACGAAACTCACCTCTATAATGAATTTGAAATGTGATTTTTTTTCACGATCCAAAGATATTCCCGTCCAACTTAAAAGACCATCATTTATCCCAATAACAAATTCACGACTAGGATTAAGTAACCGATATGTGACTGTATTAGAAGTGTTCACATTAACCAGAGTCAATCTGCCTAAAGGTTGAGGCTTTTCTGAAACTTGATTTTCAGTAATATTGAATCGATACTCCTCATTTAAAAATCGCATAAAACTGGTGCCATTTGATAGGCCTTTAATATTTACCACAACAGTTGATGAATCCGAATGTAATCCATCCGAAACAATAACAGGCACCTGAAAAATTGTGAAAAAAGGGGAAGAAATTTTATTTTAAAAGAAAAAGAAATTTTAGAAAGAAAAGAAATGACAATACAAAAAAAAATTCGATTCATTAAAATTTTAATATTTTCAACCAACTTCTCAACTATTAATTTCAATCGCATTATTTTTGTTTTTAAGGAGAGAAAACATGCTAAAAGTTAAAACATCCCAATATTTACCTTGTACTGGCTTTCAACGAACAGTGATGAACTATTGGCATGAACGAACAAAACACCGTTATATTCTCCAATTTTGAAAAGATGTTTCATGTCCCGATTTGAAATAGCAAAATGCAGACTACCGACAGTATCTGGGTCACTAGCAGTTACTTTACCTATTTCCATACCTTCAAAACAAGAATAAAGTTAAAAGTTGATGACAAGGGAAAAAAATTCTGGAACACTTTGTCAAAACAATGTAGAAGTCTTGCAAAAATCTCAAACTTTATTAAATTGAAAAAATGTGAATTGAAATTTGAATGTTTTTAAATGAAATTTTGTCAACAAATAAGGAATCAAAAAAAAACCTTCAAGGGCTGGTAGAGTAAAATCCATGTAAAAAGTTCTTTTAGAGAATCTTGGTACTTCGTCATTGAAATCGCCAATTGTTATAATAACTAAAGCGGGAATTGAAGACCATAGTACAACTGAACCCATATCACTGGCATGCACATGGAAAGACCATTCCTTGATCTAAATATGAAAACTGGAACTTTTTACTTATGGAATTTTATTACTTCTTTCGCTTTATATTAATGTTTTCAAACCAACCTTTTCAAAATCTAAAGATATTTTTGACCGAATCGCACCAGAAATGAAATCTACACTAAAATAAGGCTCCAAGGGTGATAAAATGTGATAACATACAAAGCCATTGAGACCTAAATCTCTATCCACTGCATGGATTACGAGAGGATTCTGGTTTTGCAAAAGAACCGGAGATCCTGAAAACCTAATGTTTTGCACTTTTATAAAAATTGTTGAAAAAATGTTGATAAATTAATAAATTTTTTTTTTTACGGAATAATGCACGAACACCTGATTTCCCTTAGTAAAACGGCTGAAAAATTAGAAAAGAAAAGCCAAAGCATATTTAACAACCTGCTGGCATATTTTCTTGTATATATCCATAATAAACAGTTTGATTGAAAATTGGTGCAAATTCATTTGCAACAATCACCTACAACAGATTTTCAAATTAATTCATTTAATTAAAAAAAATTGAATTAATGAAAAATTAATTAATGAAAATTGAATTAATGAGCTATTTTTGGTAAATAAAAAAACTAGTAAAATAAAAGTAATGAAATCAGATTATGCAATAAACATGGAAAAAAACTGTAATTATCAGGTTTATGAAATAAACTTTGAAGGAAAAATAAAAGCGACTGATTAATGAAAGCAGTACAAAAAAATAGTAGAAAAGATAAAAACTAACATTTAAGCCAACAACTGTTGTGTTTTCTTGTCCTTGTGAATTTCTAGCCGTAACTGTACAGTTTAGACTAACGCCAGTATCAGCAATATTTAAACGACGAATGAGGTAAAGTGCCCCAGAAATAGAATGAATATCAAGGTATTTACATGGTTCTGATTCAGATAAATAGTATCGTATTCCAGATACACCATTCGCACGAACCACGGCGATAAAGGTTCCCGGCAAAGCATTTTTACGCACAGAAAAATGATATTTGGATCTGCAAAAAAAAAATTTTTATCAAATAAATTCGGTAGAATGGTTTAGTTTAATGAAAAACCAACTTTTTGAAGAAAAAGTGCCAATTTCCATTTGAGACTTGTTGAATAACAGCCCTACATGAAGCTGACTGTGGTTGCATTCCATGACCAGTCGCTTTTATTATAAGTATGGCCTCAGAAAAATTGGAATTCTTGAAAGTTTCAGTGACACTCAATTCACCGGTAATAGCATTCAAAGAAAAATAACTGAAATCGTTCCCTGGAAAAAATATAGATAAAAAGCTTTGAACATAAAATTTTTTGTAAAAAAAGAATTAAAAAGAAGTTGAAAAAGGGAAATTGGTGTAAAAAAAAGAAAGATAGACAAAGGAAAAATGCAGATTAATAAAAGAATATGATTGGATGTCACTGCAACGATGTTTGATAAAAAACTAGCAAATGAATATTTATAAAAGAAAAACAGCAAATCATCCAACCTGAAACAATTGAATAGATAAATTGTCCTTTTTTACTTGAACCTGGATCAGTGGCTTCAACCATTAAAATAACAGTACCAACATCAATACTAAAATTAAAGCTTAAGTAAATAAAATAATGGAACTAAGAAAAAATGAAACTATTCGAGGCAAACTTTTGTAGAAGGCTTTATATAATAAAAATAATAATACCTATCCTGAATTTTGGTAACATATTCAGATTCAGTGAATTTCGGTGGATTTACATTTTCATCTATAACGGATATATAAAGTATGGCATAATTCGACATCTGTCCATATCGAGCTGAGATAATCATCGAGAAATTCTTTGCAATTTCATTTTTAATGCTGTCAATTAAAATTACTTCTCCAGTGCTGAAATAGCGCTGGGTACTACTATTTTTCAATGAATTCTTAATTATGCTATCCATTTCTCTACTTTTTTTCTTATCTAAGGAATTGTTGCAAAATATGACCAAACAACCTAGCAATTTCAAACCATGCGGAAGAAAAAAACCCTGAAATAACCACCTTGCATCAATTCTAAATTTTTCTGCCGAAGTAACACTCTCAAAAGAACTAATTCCATATACTACAGATGAACTGGATTTAGAAGGCAACGAAATCCCATCATTATTCACATCTGCCTTCGCTTTAAATATTATTGTGCCAACGTTCGCACTTCTCAATATTGCAGTTCGATAATGTATGGCATCAAATATTGGACGTTTTTGGATCGCTGTTGATATTTCAATGTCAAGCTAGAATTTCAGTGGAAGGCTATTTTAGTACAGAGTGAAATCAAGCAAATAGAATGTAGAAATATGTATAAGAAAATGAAAAATAAATGAACATGCTGAAATAAACAAGAAAAAAGTCTACATAATTGAAAACTGCATATTTTATGAAGGAAAGATGGTTCAAATCAAGCGATATTGAATGCAACGGTCTTACCTTTGCTGTGACATTGTCGACACCATCACTTATACATATTTCAAGATGGAAAAGATTTATATTTAATTTATATGAGTTAAATTTCCTAGCCAAAATAAGCTGACCACTATCTCTTCTAAAATATAAACTGAAAGTAAATAATAAGAGCTATGGCATGTTTTTTTTTAACATTCACTTTACTGGTTAGATTCTCTCCTCTGGCCTGTCGCACTAAAAAGGTATGTTAGAGAGTCCTTTGGCGACAGAAGTACAAGTGGGCCACCTGCGACACCAGAAAGATGTGCTTAGTAAATAAATGTAAGCCTAAATATTACTAAAATATTTTATTTGGAAAAAAACATAAAACTTAAACCTAATGGAAAATATATTGTTCAAATTTCCTGACATAATAGACCACCACAACTGATCGCCATCTGGATCTTCAGCCTCCACTATACAAAGCGTTTCATCAATATTTTTAGAGCTGGATATAACCAAATGTGACCAAGTGTCTTCATTCATAAGAATTGGAGCTCGATTGGATTTCTAAGGAATAAAAAATGGAAAAAACCATAATGAAACCAAAAATTTCCTATAAAGTTACCAAAATAAATTCAACCTTAGAAAATTTCTGCATAACTGGCGTAACAACGACTTGAGATGATGCTATGTAATGAGGCATAACTGAATCTGTGGCCTGGAAAAGTTGAAAATTGCTTTTCGATAAGTTTTTAAACTGTTCATCTCAATGTCGTGGAATCTTTTTATTTTTATTTTATTTTTATGCCTTTTCCAAAGTTACTAGTGGAAATCTCAGTGAAATTATTCATATTATTGCTGAAAATTTCATAGTAATTCAACTCTGTAAATTTGATCTAAATATCAATTTACGAATCAAATACAGAATTATTGTATTTTTCAAGTCATATTCCAAAGAGTTTAGATGAATAACAGGTGTCGTTGTGCAAAGTTTAGGTGAGCCTTGAGTTTAGATTCATTTAAGACTAACTTGGATAATGAAAGACATAACCGACTGCAAAGGTTTTGATATATTAATATGACCAAATTCATCCACAGATAGATAATCGTCACCCGATGTGATATTATAATGGATCTGTGAATTCATCTGTTCATCCATATCAGTTGCAAATACCCTAGAATAATGAAGTCCTTTCATTTTCAAACATATAGTCCTAATGAAAGAAGGTGGAAGATAAGAAGAATTTTTCTGGATAGTTTTCGTAGAGAAAAGAATACCTGCATAATAAGCCAACAGTACCAGCTGGAACATTAAAATTATATAGTTTTTTCTTGAATACTGGTGGATTGTCGTTCACATCAACAATATCAATGATAACAGGTACTGTTGTGCAAAGTTTAGGTGAGCCTTGATCACATATTTCGATATTTAATTCATGTTCATCTTGAGTTTCACGATCAACGCGTCGTCGGCCACTAGTTATCATGTAGCCTAAAAACTATATTAATGGAAAACGATAATACTGAGGTATAAACTCTTTACATCTACGACAAAACCACGACATTTCTTAAAAAGTAAACCTGTTTTAGGGTCTATAGCAAAAAAACTTTGTGGATCACCACTAACGATTCTATAGAAAAGATTAGTTTGATCATCCGATTCATCTTCATCTTTATCTCTCGCTTCTACCTAAAAAAATTTCAGATTTGTTGTCAGTAGATTTGTTTTCTGGCTTATGGAGAAATTTGCAGACAAATGAATTTTATTAATTCATTTTGCAATAATTTTTATTCTATAAATAAAATTATGAGGAAAAAAATTAAAAAATAAGAGAAATAAACTCATTCTAGGCATAAATAAAAGACTTATCTAACAAAAAAATGACAATTCACCTTAACCACAACTGTATTTTCGGGAGAATTCTCAGGCACAGATGCAAAATATACTGGACGCATCGGCATAGGAGCATTATCGTTGACATTAAGCACACGAATAAAAATATGTGTAATTGAACTAAGTGGAATTTTCTCAGCTTGAATAGTCAACCAGTAATGATCCTTGATTTCACTATCTAATACCAGTGATGTTCGAATCATTCCTAAAATTAACATTTAACAAAATCAGTTCCATTAGCTTCTTTCCTGATTATCCACATTTCTGTCGTCGGTAAATACAAAAAATTCCATCTTTTTTTCTATTCTTAGATTTATATTGCATAAAAATAAATAATATTTCATATTCTTATTCTTTGATATTTCGGAAATTCATCGATTAAATTTTAATATTGAGTGAAAGTAGAAAGATAAAACAGTTCGGCAAAAATTTGACCAATTTTCCTCCTCAATGGTAATTCATAAGAGTCCAACTGATGAAAAAATTTATTTAAATTGGTCCAGTCACCAAGAATAAATTTTTAGATATTTTCACTGCATTTTTTCTACTATATTTACCATTTTCCGCCTGGTCTTAGCTATCGAAATGAAAAAATTTTAGCTAGAAAGTTCTTCTGAGGACAAAAGTACATGTGGATACCCAAATTATCCGAATTTTTTAATAGCACTTCTGCTAGAGGCAAGATGCTTGAAATGATAATCTAAGCAATATCATTGTTTAATTATTTACTACATAGTGGAATAAGCATAGAACTGGTTTGTGGTGAGTTTGGTGCATTGGCGAAAGATAATGTTGCACGTTCATAGATTAAAGTTCGAACATGTACAATGCAGTTGCTCTATGATTACACCACAGACCTGGTCAAAAGTATTTATAATGCCCGAAAATTGTTGAATATGAGGGCAATAAAGGACCCAATTGGATTTTCGGTTCGGCAATTGAATTAAGAAGACTATTTTTTCGTAATTGCTTCAATCTTTTATTATTCCAGATATTATTTCAAATATTCCAGCATATTTTCCTAAATTCCTTGTTAAATTTTTAGAGAATTTTAGCTGTTTCAGTTCTTCGCTGTTTTTTCATATTTTCTTGTCAATTCGCTAAAACGATTAAGAAAATAAAAACCTTTTTGATCAATAAAGAAAAAACCGATTCCATCACCGCCTATAATAGAATATTTAATAGATGAGGACGAACTGTCGAGATCTGCAGCTTGCACAATAATTACTTCTGCTCCCACTGGCATATTTTCTACAATAAAGCTTATAATATGCCTATGTACTTTAGCAAACAGAAACCAGCTGTCACAAAACCTCTTAAAAAAAAACCACATTAAAATTGCTAGGGATAACCATATATGCTAGCTTCATAAGCGATGTCAGAAAATCGAGGTGGATATACATTCTCATTCACATTGACCAACTCAATAATAACTTCACATGTGGAACTAAGAATTGGTTGTCCATTATCCATTACCTAAAGCGTTATAAAATATTCGTTTGTAATAAAAAAAAGATGTTATCGACAATACTAGGATAATTATAGAAAATCAAGTTTTTGCAAACATACTTCAATACTGATATTGTAGAATGCTTGCTTTTCATAATTCAAAGGGACAGTTGAATCCACAAAAATACATCCGATATCTGGATGAATTCGGAAGGGTAAAGGCTGGTCAGAATAATCAATAGCTGTATCAAATGTGAAAGTAATCCGAGCATTTTCACCAAAATCAGCATCTGATGCAGTAATACAAGTCACCATTGCACCATTTGGATAATCTTCGGGAATACGCACCTGCAACACAATAGTTAAATTTAAACACTGATATTTAAATGAGAAAAAATTTTGCTATTAAGAAATAAAACAAGATAATATAGAAGAATCTATAATATAGAAAATATAAAAGATAAGATAATATAGAAAATTTTTCAGTTCCCTAAATTTTGAACACTGAAAAATTCTAGCGATTCTAATTCTCCAAACTTTGTGGAAATTTTCCGCGCATTTAGGTGCATTGTCATTCACATCATCAATTGATACAGTCACATTTGCGAATGAATATTTCGGTGGATAACCATTGTCATATGCCATTATAATAAAACTAAAACATATAAATTGTTATAGAAGTAATGAGTTTACAACTATTTAAAATTGAAAAACATAGTCTACAAACTTTATATTTCTTTCATGGACCAGCCAGTGCAAAGAATTTAATCAATTTTGTTTGTGTAAATTAATGCGTTTGCTAATTTCCTTATATATTAATATAAAACATACTGATGAGAATCTCGTGTTTCTCGATCTAATTCTTTTGAAACAAATAAAATTCCACTGATACGATCAATTGAGAAATATTGCCCATCGCCAACTAATTTGTAACCAACCTTGCCATTATCACCATGATCAAGATCAATGGCTAATAAATTTAACAAACGCTCATTAATAGGAAGATTTTCAGGAACATGAACGTAATAATAAGACTGAAATTGCCCATTTTTAAAAATTTTTCGCTGAATTTATATTTTATTTATATTTCGTTACATTAATAATAGAATTAGCCTAACCAGAAATGATGAGTGCTAACCATTTACTCCGCATTTATAAATTCTGTGAAAAAAAATTATTTATAAAATAAAAAAGCAAAGAAAGTGTAAAAGTAGCACCGGATGATTTGTATAAAATAAGTCAAGCAATACTATAAAATTTGAACCCTTTCAAATTGTGGAGCATAATTGTTAACGTCATTTATAATAATCGAAATAGAAGCATTGCTACAAAATACTGGTTCATCCATGTCACATGCTGATACTGATATTTTTTTGATAATACTACTTTTCGAAAAATTCTTTTGACTGGTAAATAATTCTTGCAAATTTTTGGCAACAAAGACATCACCGCTATAAGGATCTGCAGCAAAATAATCATCATGGCATGCATATCGCAATAAGCCAGCATAACCACCATCTTTATCTTCTGCTTCTAATTTTATGATGATCTAAAATGTTAAACTTTTCATAAACTTTTGATATAAGCTTTTCATAATGAATTTTACACAATTCGTTACATATTATAGGATTTACATATTATAAGAGTCAATTTCCTCATAATGGCATTCACTAATTCTGAATTGGCTACTAGAACCACTCTATTGACCACTAGAATGAAACCTTTTCGCCAGAGAATCACTTGAGGCAAGAAATTATGAATCCAGATTTCACTTTTAAAGACGGGTTTACTTGGAATAGGAAAACAGGTCATGTTTTGGTATTTAAACTAATTATTTTGCCAATATTTTGAATAAAAAAATTTATAAATTTAAAAAATCATGAAATATAAGTTATTCTTCCATATGATAAATATCTATTTGTTTTTATGAAGTTTTTGTCGCCAGTTATTTTTCTAACATTAAAAAGGACTATGGGTAATGATGGTGACGATTTCTCTACTCATATAATTCAAGAAATTTAATTTAATTATTGCGGATTTGAATAATGAATTTAGCTTACCTGTCCAATAGCAGCATCTTCATTGATTTCAATGCTTTCATAAATTTTAACAAAAGTAGGAGCGAATTCATTTTTTCGCTCTCGATGCACCACTGGCCACAGTCTTGAAGGTGTTTGTGTTCCATTGAGATAAAGAGTCAAAATCAAGTCCGAACTTCGTGGATATGGCCAACCATGGTCTACTGCCCGAATATTCATTCGCCACCATTTATGATTCAATGGAATAGTATTCATTACAAATATCTACGAATGATTTATACAATCTTACCAATAAATAACAATTTTATAATTGTTTTTTAACTGATTAATATAAAAAAATAAAAAAATTAGATTCGATGTTAAACTTCAGATTTAAATTTAAATTTAAGATTTAGGAAATTTGCGAACGTATTTCTCATTAACTTTCCACAAAATTTCCTGTAAAACAAACTTCTCCTGTTGTATGATTAATATCAAATGGCATTTCCTTATCTTTGTTAATAACAATATATTCAACAAAACCATTATTTCCTGAATCTAAATCTATAGCATCAACTTTTCCTATAACTTTGCCAATATATAAATCATCTGGAACCACTGAAAAAAAAAAAATTAATTTTAACGAAGTCTATGAAACCAATCGGAGTTAATGGTGGAACAATTTTCTTAAATTATTTTTACTGGCGATAATTTTTAATAAATAGTAAATTAACGAGAAAATCATTACCGACTGGTTCTCCTCTTGCCAATTTTGCTGCAAACATTGGTGCATTATCATTGCTATCAACTATTTGTATTTCTACATTAACTGATGCTTCTACTCCATATTCAATTATCTGTAATTATAAGTATAAATGATTTTTCAGATAATTTTTTATTAAATGCGATACTTAGCGTTTCATCATAGTTATAAAAATAATTAATTTTTAAAATGAGTAAAGAAGGATATTAACAAAAATTATTACCTCAGCTTTAACGATAAAATTATATGCTTTAATCTCTTCGTAATCCAACCAATTTGCAACACGAATTTGAGCAGTTTCGTTATTTACAAAAAATGGAAGAAAATCGCTTTCGTTATTTGCTATCAAAGAGTACCTGGAAATTTTTACAGCATTTTAAGTTTTTTGAATTAGCCTTTTATTAAAGTGAAGAAAAATAGCCTCTAACAGTTTAGCGTTAGGTTAATTATGAAATTTTAAAATTTCGGTTCTGATATACTCTAATAAATTACTAAAATTGTCTCTATATTAAAATTGAGCTTTCTTAGATTCGAGTATGATGAACGAATTTTTCCTCTTTTCACTCCGCACAAAGAAACTCGAAAATTAACTACCTAAACAATTTTTCAGTTAAAAAAAGAAAAGAAATGAAAAAAATTTGCATTTATAATTCAGCAAAATATTGAGGAGAAAATACAGAATTTCTATTAGAAAAAAAATTATAAATAAAAATAAAAGAAAATAAATAAATAACTCTTAATAAAAAATAAATGGTACGAAAGATAACTAACTCTAACTGAAAACTATAAAAGTGGATTCAATTTTAACCAAAATTTACATGTATACAGGAAATATTACCTTAGTTTGATATTATTTGGGCGAATTCCATCAACAACGAACGCATCGGCGTTTCCAACTAAAAAACCTATTGGAGACGATTCGTTCACTTTTAATCTCAATATAGCGAATTTCTTTTCCAGTTCAATTTTGCTCCTTTCTTTAGAATTAACAACAATTTCTGTGACTCGTTTATCCTGATTTCCGGAAAATCTATCAGCACTCACAAGTAGTCGCACTAAATACCGTTCATAGAGAGGTATTCCTGAAACTGTGAAATCTTAAAATTGATAAAACTAAAAAAATTAGGAACTAAATAATAGTGAAAAATTTTAAAAACATTTCATTTTATGCGAAAATAATTTTAAAAAATGTTGCGAAAAATTGGAAATTAAGAGAAAAGAGAAGAGAAATTACCCGCGACTGTCATTAAATTCCATGTATTATACAAGACTTCAGAAAGATAGAAATTTTGCTGCCCATCGACGATTTCAAGCTCCAATTTTTCCGTAAAACTGGTTCGAATTATCGCAACAAGTTGACTTATAAATACAAGATCACCATAAATTGGCTTCTTTTCAACGTTCAAAATAGGTAATTTTGCTTTCGTTTCGGTAACATTTACAATCTAAATATCGACGCTATTCAAGAAGAACTTTGAAATCTACGTGTAACTGTTAAACGAAATTATTAAAGTTGTGAAAGAGAAATTTGGTGGAATTTGGCTACTCAAGAGTAAAATCGGGTGTTCACCACTATTTGTAAATGACAAGTTTACTGGAGCCATGGCCCTGATAATTCCGGCCCTGATAATCTGAGTAACAGTCACATAATGACAACAAAGTCATTTTGCATTTAAAAAATTATGAAAAACTTTTCTACAAGTGTCAAAAAAATGTAGGCAATAAATATGAAATTTGGAAATTTACAAAAAATACGAACCACTTTTGCTTCATGAAGATTAATCACCGGCCAAAATCCATTTTCTTCTTTATTAATCTCATCATATTTCCTGGAAAGACGAGATTCGCGATCTTCAGCAAGCAAATTAAGCTCATAAACATTAGCTGTAAGTGGTCTTATCGTTTGAACCCATCCACTAATTGGATCGATCGCAAAATCAAGCGATTGATAAGTAAATGAATAATATATTTGACCACTAAGACCGATATCGGCGTCAGACGCTTCAACTTGAACTATATTGGTAAAAGGTTTTACCTGTAAAAAATTGAAGTATAAGGGACAAATACTAATAATATTAAATGGATTTGAGATAAATTATAAGTCAAATCAAATAAATAAATCAATTGAGAAAAAATGAGATTTCAATCTAGAAGAATTAAAATTCGAAAATATAAAAAATTTTAAATTTCGCCTATCGAAAGTGATTGTAGAAAAGGATTTTACAACAGTATTTATATTCGGCGATTAAAAAAATATAAAATATAAAATTTAAGCCATCAAGACAATCATATTAGTCAGTCAATTCTAATACAACTAATTCTATGTAACTTGTGTGATTATTTCATGGAATGCATGGAAGTGGACATGGAGAAAAAATGGTGGGTAACACAGGATAATTTGGCTCTCTATATGCAACAAAATTACCTCTATGTCGTGATTTACAGAAAATTCCAAATAAATAACCTGATCCGTTAAATTGACAGTAAATAAATTATTTTCGAAAATGGGTCGCGCATCGTTGCGATCCGTTACAAAAAGATTCACAATGGTTGTTGTTTCCAGATTTGAAGCTTGTTTTCGGCGACATATGGCTTTGATAAGAAATTCATAGCGATCCTAAACAACAAAAACAATAATTAATGAAAATCTCACCGTGAAATTAACGGAAATGGAAAAGAAAATTAAAAAAGACTAGAATTGATAAAATCTTTCGATAATTGAAATATTAAGAAAAATTTCGTCTTAAAAATTATAATTTACACCTTATCAATAAGATAAATCAAGCAAAACAATCAATTATTTTGATAATCTTATCGAAAAAACCAAGAACTTATTTTTTGGAAAGTTTTTTCAAAGCATTCATAAATATCAAAATATAGAAAGCGTTCGTTCGCCTGTCCTTGTATATAATGCAACCTAGATACAAGCCAAGCAAATTAACTGAAAGACCCCAAAAAAAGTTTATACGTCGCCTTCACCTAATAACAATCTCAGTTATTTCAATTATACAACTAGATTCATTCTCAATTCGTCGAGTTAAGCAAGATTTATTGCATAGTTACACCAGATTGTTCAAAATATAATTTTAGGCTAAATTTCAACCCAACAAGATCTAATGGGCTGAAATTATTAGAATCTAAATGCAGAACTGAACTAAACTAAGAGCGCATGACTTTTTTACTCGCACCATTAATTATTGAAATAAACTGCCGCTGTTTGTGCATCATCTTTAATTGTTTTTAGAAAAAGATTGAACATATTGTTGGATTGAACATAAATATCGTGCAGATTTTATTTAAAATATGCCAGGCGGCTCAGTGGGTTGTTGCTCAATTCGGAGCGCAGGTGCTGAAGTTCCATTCCCGCAGGAGTAAACCTATCCAAAAAGCCGGGTGTTGTTGGCGACTCACTGGTATTTTTATTGTCAAAAGACTCTCCCGCGCATATTTAACCGGTGCAATAAATCAACAGAGCGAGTTTAACCAGTGATAGTGAGGACTCTTGAAAAAATATTTTAAAAGATTCACATTATGAAGGTAATTTGAAATCTTGATCATTTATCATGCGAATATGTGCCAATAATGCGATTTAATTCGATTTGATTTATTCTTTGATTTCCGTTTTACTATATTATTTCCTTTTATATTGCTAACTTTTGGTGCTTTTGTTTCATTTATCGCTCACTAATTTTTTTGATTGACCTTATTTTGGTTTATTATTACAAGCACATGGCGCCTGTCACCCTGATTGGTCGTTAAATTATAAATAAATTCTAGTACATCCTTAGTGCCTGCCATTTATTAGACCTCGTGGCAATCTATGATATTCTCTACACCTTTTAATTCAAAGAGGAAAATTTTAAATATAAGGGCCTTTCAATAGTTTCTTTCAAATATCTAAAATAGTTGCTAACTTTTCAATTGATCAAACTTCAGTCAGTAAACTTATTTAATGTTCCTTATATTATTTCATTAAATGTTCTTTAAACAAGGAAGATGCAGTGGCCTTCGTTCACACTAATTCGAGTTCTATGAATTTCAAATTTGCGACTTCGGTTTACATATGAATTCTCGTTAAATAATTGATTTCACGAATAATCAACTGTTTCATCAGCACTCATCCACAAAAATTTGAAAATTCTTAATATTCATGGATTGAAAAAGTGTGTGGATTCACACTAATTTTTCACTGATTAAAACTGATTAAAAAAAACCTTTCTATTTTCAAATAATAGTCTGTAAAATAAAACAAAAATAAGAGAAAAAACAATTTACCAAAAATTTTTTGAAATAATTTATTAGGAATTCGGAAAATTTAGAATATTTTGAAAAAATTGCTGAATGAAATAAATATATAAATATTTACTCCAATGATTCGCAATTTGGAGAGAAAATTTTTAAAAAAAATTCATCAAAAGTTGCTAGTTGAATAAATAATTTTTTTCAGCAAAGATTTATTTTTTTGGTATAATTGTCCTTATCTTTTTTTATTTAAAATTTTTGTAAAATAATTCATAGAATAAAGAAATGATAATAAATAATAATTAATTAATAATTAATTAATAATAATAAATAATAATAATATTAATAATAATAATAATATTAATAATAATATTAATAATATTAATAACAATAATAACCAATAATAATTAAAAATGATAAGTAATAATAATTAACAATAATAAAAAACAATAATAATAATAAATAATAATAATAAAAATTAAAAGATCATCTATTTGCCCAGGAAAAATGAAAAAGGAGTGATAATGAAGAGTAGAGTACGCCAAAATGGCATAACATGAAAACATTCGGCACCAAAGCTAAACAAACAGAAAATACCCAAACTTTTCAAACCACTCAATAAATAAAATTTTATAAATGAGAAAAAATATGTGAGGAATAATCAAACTTTTAATTCTCGATTAAGAAAGCCATCATTACGATGTCGAATCCGTAAAAATGCGAAGTCTCCAACATTGCGTGCTTCTGCTTTAAAATGAACTCGATCGCCCTGAAATTTCGTCAATTCAGAAAATTTGTTCAGATTGTCCAATTTCATGGATTTTCCAGAAAAACCTTAATTTTATGGGATGATTTTCCTAATAATTAAAAGGATTCATAAAAAGAAAAATTCTTATGCCAGTTTCGCTTAACTCTGTTATACGACCGACAATTTGTCCAGGCTACCTGCATTATGCGATGCCAGAAACTTGTCTGCCTAACTTTATCATATGGTTTTTAGCAGTCTAATCGTTACTAATAAATTTATTTATATAAGTATCGAACGGGTTTATTGAAAATAATTTTATAATTTTTATCAAGAATTTGATAAGAAAGGCTTTACATAAGATTGTATTTTTTTAAAAATCATCTTCGAGAAAATCATAACAAATACCTCAACAATTTTATATTTAACAATAGCATCTTTATTTGGCAATGGTACACCAATTCGAAGAATACCTTTATAATTAGCATAAACATCTTTACCCCGCGAATTTTCTTCAATACTTACATTATATACAGTAGATGTAAACTAAAAAATTATAAATAATTACATATTATATCGAAAAATATTTATTCTAACAATTTTTCGTCTCATAAACGAAAAATTAAAATCTAAATGAATAAATGAATATGGTTTTTGTAATATTAATACTCGTGAAAAAATTCAAATTAAGTCAAATATATCCCTTACATATATATATATATATATATACCGGATATTCCTTTGTTTTTCATGCACATCTCATTCCGTACAAATTTAAACAAGGAACATTGAAAAGATCACCAACTTGAAAATTATAAGCATCAATAGTAGTTGATCGTTGATGACGTATCGATGATAGCCTTTGTATAGGATGATCAGTGATTAATTTATCAGCCGAATGCAGTTCATACAGTAATAAAACTAATAGAATTGCTGATAATCGATAAAATAGTAAAAATAGATAGTCTGCACTGGTCATGTGGCCAGAAATTAATCCTATTTCTCAAAAAAGAGATAAGAAATTCGAATTAATCCATCAATTGCAAACACGGAAACAATCGACCACCGCTGGCTAAAATTTGAATGGATAAAACAAAACCTACGATTCTCAAAAGTATATATCACAAAAAATCAAATAATGATCAAATTAACTCGAAGAAGACTGAAGCAAAGTCTTAATTATCATAATGAAAAAAATAATGATAATGACAACAACGATAACCCTAATCATAGCCAATAATATTCTTGCAATAAAAGCTATAATTCAAGATTAATAAAATACGAAAATTTTTTTATTGAAAATTTCTTTTTATCATAAAAATTGCCACAAACAACGAAGTATTATTATTTATTATTATTTATTTTTTATTATATAATTAATATATTTTTAATCATTAACTTTTATTATTATTGTTTTGTTATATTCGCTTGCTAAGTTTTCTGTACAATCACCATAGAATGGAAGGCTAGGGCCTTTTGAATTGATATGTTGAATTTATCTAAAGTTAGTTTAATAGCATAAAGCCTTAATGATTTGATAACAGGTGATAACAGATTCTCCGATCCTCTGTCTGTTCGAATTTATATTTAATTGATAAATTATAATATTTTAAATTTATAATAAATCTTCTAATGATAATATAATAATGATCAGTACACACTCATACAACACATATTAGAATTAAATAAAACATTGTCATTATTATTCATATATATACAATGAAATGCAAATGGGGTATAAAACAATTCACATCTCAAGATTTCGACACCATGCAATATCTATAAAAAAAGTAAGTGCGAGCGATTTCCCATTCTTTATAAATAAACAATTTGATGAACATTACCTTTTCAAACAATATTTTACATATTGAAATATTCAATTCAATTCGGTTCAAACGATTACGTATAACGATTTATAACGATTATATAATAACGATTTTAAATAAGATAAAAATGCATGAAATCAAAAAATCAAACAGGTTGGCTGAATACAAGTAAAAAATTTTCTTTTGGCTTAATTTTTTTAATGTTTTGCTATTCTCTCTCTTATTTTCATTATTGCAGGCCATTATGCAAGTGCTCTTATTTTATAAGTGAATTATTATTATTTTTATTATAAATGGATTATTATTTTTATTACTACTGTTATTTATTATCATTAATATATTATTAAAAACAACGAAGAATAGTTAAAAGCCAAAACTGTTGCTATTACCATTATTATTTTTATTATCTCTTATATTATTACCTATTATTTATTTATTATTACTGATATATATTTATAACAATATTTTACAGATATTTTAATTTTATATTATTATTAATTATTGTCAATTATTTTAATTATTATTATTATTACCTTATAAGTAAATGTGTGAACTCAATTCAACTTGACTGAAGCTTACAATAAAATTATGCAAATCTATTTTGCAAGAATCAAAGTTTTCATAATTAAAAAATACTTTAAGACCTTTAAAAAGATTAAAAAAAACTAAAAAATTTTTAAAATAATTAAAAATCTTAAAAATAATAGATTTTTTAAAAAATTTTTTTAAACAACTAACAGCTAAAATTTTAAAAAATTATTGAAATTTTAAAAACGTAATTGATAATTGATATCATTTCTGAAAAAATGGAATATGATTTTAATGATAATAGCAATGATAAATTAGAAAAAAAGAAGATAACAAAATTATCTTAAAAAAAAGAAGATAATAAAAATAAAATAAAATTATTATTTCCAAATTATAGTTTGCATCATTACTAGTTAAAATACCTGTACTAAGGACGATGAAAGCATAAAGGACTATAGAACTTGAATTCTCAAGACTTACTACATTCTCCTTAATAGACTATACTGAATCTCATCGAATCTCTGTTTTAACATTCATCAAAGGATTTATTACTGAAGGATTTATTTATTTGCAAGGAAATCGAACAACTCTAATCCAAAAATCAAAGGTAAAAAGTAAAAACATATAATAAAAACTTTCTAATAACAATAATAAATACCACCATGACCAAGGCAAATGATATGGTGCTTTGGCTGAGGCCATCATGGATTCGACTTTCTTGGCCTATTATTAATCCGAGATAGTGAGATCCGAGTAGTATTGGGAAGCCACCCGTACTTCAGATACTTTAAGTGATTCCCTAGCAATGATTCTTGCAGTTAATAAAGACAGCAGAAGTGATGAATGGCGTTAAAAAAAAGAACCATCATTTCAATATAGGTAATATTAGAACAATACTAATAATGCCTTTAGAAAATTCTTTTACAATTTATCAAAACTGATTAATTTATCTTGCTTCTTCTTTTTCCTACAATTCCCATCATTTCGTATTCGGTTGGCCTTATTGGCTACAGGCTAAAATCTTTTTATTGAAGAATCATTCCCGGATAGAAATGCAGATATCTCCCTTTTAAATAGAAAAAATAACCTTAAAATATTTTGTCAAATGTCTGTTTACTTTGTGATTAGTGCATAATTCTCATTATTGCAATTGAACGATTAAAATGGCTCCATGTTTTAATATTTACATTCCTTGGTGAAGCTATTTCAGCCTATGCTTACGTAGAAATAATTTTAAAAAAATAACTAAGAGAGTAAAATAGTGGGATAGAATGGCTCAGTGGCTGCTGCTCAATTCGAAGTGCTGATGCTGTGGTTCGATTCTCCGCAGGAGTAAACCTGCACAAAAATCCAGGTGATGCTAGCGACTCACATGTATTTCTGCCACCAAGTGATTCTATGGCATATTGTCCAATGCAATAAGCCAGTGGAGCGAGTTTAACCAGTAATGGTGAGGACTTTTAAAAAAAAAGTAGAGTAAAATGGTGAATTAATTAATGTTAAAAAATAAACATCAATTTTTCTGTATGAGTAATTGCTTAGTGCTCTCCATTTTTGGATCGATCTGTGTATCAGCTGTTCATCGTTAATAATCAATTAATATAACGAGAAATTTTTTCCAAGGAGTTGCTCAGAGACAGAAGGGCAAAGGGAATATTTCAATAACTATTGTCTTTTATATTATGCGAAATGAAAATAAAAATTAGGTGTACGCGAGGAAAAGAAAAATACGATAATAATGATGATAATGGTAATGATGGGATCAAGTAAATCAACGGATGGACAGATTTCTTAATAATGATTATAGTAATAATTATTGAGAAAATACAATATAAATTATTAATATAAACAATAGGCAAATCAATTTTGATTCGACAATCATTAAGAATAATCAATGAAATAACTTTCAAGGACATTTTTGAATTATTTTACCATATCATTTTAACGTTAAAATTTTCTGACTCCTTTCCAACAAAAAAAAAAAACAATTGAAAAAATGACATGAAATCCACTAAAAAACGACAAATTTTTCACTAACAGAATTTTCTGTTTCTTCAAATTCATTTGTATAATTTTTTGAGAGAGATAATTGTTGCTGCTTCCGACAGAAAATCCTATTAAAACACCTGGTAAAGGCAACACATCTGCGACATGCAAGTGATTCCCTTGCCAAAGTTTCTCACCGCAATAACAGTCAGTGAAGCAAGCCGCGCCTGGAATGAAGAGGCTAATCAGTTACCAAATTTTTTAGAGCCAAGATAGTCGAGTAGTTTAATGCTTCAAGTATCACTGTTTTTGCACTTCTATCTCCAAGTGAATGGCTTAGTAATTTGAACCTGATAAATACATTTCCTGTATTATAGCCCAATCAAAATGGATCAATGAATTATTTTTGTGGTCGATGTTCCAAAAATTTCTAAAAATAAAAAATAAAAGTCAAAGAAAGTCGAAAATCAATGTAAATAGGTGAATAGTTTATTTCGTAATAAATCCTGAAATAAACAGAAATAAGGACGGAGATGATGAAAAAGGTAGAAAATCATTTTTTTTACAGGTGTTTCGACCCGACTCATTATCCGTATAATTAAATGCGAACTTGACGAGACCCAGTGCTAATCGAATTTTTTCTCATTTGTTATCATCTTTTTAAGAAAAGATAAGCGCCTAAAAAATGTAAGCACACCTCAAATGTACTAATTTCTACCCAAATTTAGTTTAAATATACTACAGTAATATCGATGTACCACAGTAATCTTGTGGTGCTCGTAACTCACTCTTCTATCGCCAGAGAAAATTTCTGACCAACAGCAGTGGATTTAATGCATCTAATCTAACTAGAAATGATAACTACTTCCTTATTTATCAAGTGATAAGTACTTTCTTATTTATCTATTTGAATTCTTTGATAGCAAATAGGTGAATAGAATGAATAGAATAGAATTCAGCAGTTTTAAAAAATTTGTTAATTATGTCATTGAAGCCTAAATAACGATATTCACACCGTTACAATATTTATATATCAATAAAAAAGATTTTAGCGTAGATAAAAAATTCACTTTTCTTCGATTCCTTAGATTCAGTAATTATTTCAGTAATTTTATAAAAATCTTTGATGTAAGAATATAGCATGTTAATCCGAAAATTTTCAATACAAAAGATTTTAAAGAAACGAAACAATTATCGTTTAAGCAAATAAGCGGTTAGCGCTTTCTGCTTGGTATGGATCAGCTGGCTATTATTTAGAAATTTTTTGCTAGGGAGTCATTTGGCAATAGAAGTAGCGATGGATGAGTGGTCAGTATAAGCGGGTTTTTAATCTCGTGACAACCACGTCATGCAGTAACGCATTCAAAATTATTAATAAAAAATTAGAAAAAAAGTTTTAAAAATTCATCATCTTTCTTGAATTACCAAAATGAATCCAAACAAAGTATCATTTAACTTAAATCGCCGATAGGCGAAGATGGAATTAAAAGAATGATTCATTAAAAATGCTTGCAATGTGCTTATGAAAAATGCAAAAAAGAAAAATTCAAACATTCAATCGTATTTTTTTCAAAGCTTTGTTTGCAATTCATTGATGCGTTACATTCGAAATAATAAAATATATAAATCCATCTAATGA